AATTCTCCCCAATTAGATTATTATAATATTTATTATATTTTATATGTATAATAATATATTATATTTTTTGTTATATAGGAGTGTTATATTTTATTATATTGATTTTTGCTTGTTTGATTTTATTACATTAAAATGGTTTGCGATATATTTCAATATATGTATAGTTTATATATAACTTATTATCAATATATCATTTTCATTTATTTTGAGGTTCGACTTATCCTTCCACTGTATTACCAAAGTAATACAGTAATTATTAGTAATTATTTTCATTTACTACAGGAATTGTGTAAAGTAAATGAATTGCTTATACCTATTTATTTTCTTAATTTTTCTTTGTGATTCAGTAATCTTGGCCATAAATCACACCACCCCGCTTGCCTGTTCGGAACTTTTACAAGACAACAGAGCAGGTAAAACCGAATTGAGTGTCTGGTGAACGTAGGTCGTTTCTAGCACAATTTTATGCCTCTACGAGCAGCTCTTTTCGCATTATATCTGAACAGAACTGTACATGGCACGACGTTTTATTTTTTTACACTAAAATTATTAACTTTAAGAAAAATACTAAAGAGACAAAAAAGTACCAAAAAGAATGAGCTTTACAACCCATATTTTTTATGTTAATATTCCATACCGTTAAAAAGTTCTTATAAAAAAAATCAACGGGGTGGTGAATTTCATCCCCTTAGATGATGCTATGGAAGTTTAAGGTATGCTTGAAGATAAGGTCTTAACCAGTAGTAAATACATACAAAGTTTCAAATTCTACGGTTTACTTACAGCCGAAATACAAAACAAGATGTAAATTTTTGGCTCAACTTTGACAGCTCATAACTCGAAAACAAACGAGTTGCAACCCTACGTTTATATAAAAAACTTGTGTTATTTTGGCAAGTACTACATTCTAGTGAAGTTTCCCGATTAAAAACTGAACCATCCTCTATAAAGAAAATATACAGGTGTCTCACGTATCTGGTTCGTTAGAACTTTTTCAGGTTCCACTATTCGTAGAGATTTGAAATTTTGGTAGCATAGGTTGTTCATTCCAAACTTTCGATCTAAAATATTTTCAAGATGGCCGCCACTTCCGGTCTACCGGAAGTAGACCATAACTTCGCTATTTTAAATGGAATGGTATACGTTTTATTACACCGTTTAATTGTATGTAAAAAAATAGGTTGACTTTGATAAAAGTTATTGGTACCTAGCGTTTTTCGTTTTCGAGTTATTTTGGTTTTAAGCTTTTTTTGGGAAATTTCATCATGCTGTTTAAAACTCCATACCTCAGCCAACGTTGATTCAAAAAAGATCTACGTTGGCACGATTAAATGTCGTTTAAATGTCAGTGGTTTTCTTACTATTATTAATGGGCACGTTCACCCGGTGTCAACTGTTGAGTTGCTATGTTAGCAGTCGCGGCTGAACGATACGCTAAGTAACCGCTGTTACGCAGCAGTTTAGTAAATATCTCAGTATAAATAATCTACGCTTAGTTTGTCAGCGGTTGTGAAATTCTAGGTTAGGATTAACATTTTTTGTTTCTCCACTTTAATTTTGAAATAACTTGGAGTTACCGTTTCATAATAATTCTCATTTCTCACAAGTACAACTCTTCGAGGGGCAATAACAATACACGAATATAAAACGTCTCATATGTAAACACGACTAAATACCGTCGGGCGGCTCCGTTCGCAAAGGGACCTCNATATGGGTTGTAAAGCTTATTCATTATTGGTACTTTTTTGTCTCTTTAGTTTTTTCATTAAAGATAATAGTTTTAGCGTAAAAAAATAAAATATGCTACATTGTATTGTAAAACGCTGCTATTATTATGAGAAAATTATTCTTTATGGCTGGCTATGGAAGTTGTGCAGTTATCTTACTAGGTTCTGATACTAACTAAATAACACCAATTAATTGTGATTTTCATAAGAAAACCAATAAATAAGATGAATGTTTGTCTGAACAAATTACGTTGTTTTAAACAATATTAAAAAATGATACTCTTGCTTAATAATAATCAAAAATTATTAATAATCATCAACAATTATGAGGATTCACCGCAAATGAAACTTACAAGTTCTCAGAGCCAACCTTTAGAATAATTTTAGCTAAACATGGCGGCACATAGCAGTACATGGCACGACGTTTTATTTTTTTACACTAAAACTATTAACTTTCAGAAAAATACTAAAGAGACAAAAAAGTACCACTAAAGAATGAGCTTTACAACCCATATTTTTTATGTTAATATTCCATACCGTTAAAAAGTTCTTATAAAAAAAAATCAAGGGGTGGTGAATTTCATCCCCTTAGTTTCAAGGTACCTACAAACTTTAAAATTGTTGTTATGACAATTTTTTCTTAGAAGTTTTAAGAAGAACTTTCTTTTTATCCTTTTCTTGCATTGATTGTTTCATAAAAACATTCTAAACGAATTGCCGATTTTAACCCTGCTAAACGCGAGNTCTCAGTATAAATAATCTACGCTTAGTTTGTCAGCGGTTGTGAAATTCTAGGTTAGGATTAACATTTTTTGTTTCTCCACTTTAATTTTGAAATAACTTGGAGTTACCGTTTCATAATAATTCTCATTTCTCACAAGTACAACTCTTCGAGGGGCAATAACAATACACGAATATAAAACGTCTCATATGTAAACACGACTAAATACCGTCGGGCGGCTCCGTTCGCAAAGGAAGCTCCTGCAATAATAATACAATAGGTTGTTACAAGGGTACCTTATTCGTTATTTATTTAACTGCTTCACATCCTACTTAGCATGTATCAGTTTTGACGCCTGCACTGTTTTCATCTTAAATGTTCTGAATTAATTGAAGTACGCTGATTAATTGAGGCGAGATTCTTCTCAAATGAACAAGTGCAACAAGTTCTATTGCCTTACTTGCTGCTCCAAAGTCATTTATGTACAAAATAATAAATAAACGAAGTTGCTATAAGATTCTATTCATTTCAAAATATTAATGCTGCAATATTGCATAACGTCCGGAAGTTTACGAATTTAGGTATTAAGAATGACAATGTAGTTAATACCGTTGCTTGATTAGTTTTATTCTTTCAACATATCAAGTTATTCTTGAATAGTAAAGGCCTATTCACACTATCGATCAACGATCGGTCAAGTCACGGAGCGATCACGGTCAAAGCAAAATTTCTTTCCCACTGAACATATGCATTGATCGCCGCGGTCACATGACCGCAAAAAGACCGCATGTGTGAATATATTGCCGTGAAATGCATACGTTTAGTAGGAAAGAAATTTTGCTTTGACCGTGACCGGCCCGTGACTTGACCGGTCGTTGATCGATAGTGTGAATAGGCCTTAAACGTTATTTTGACATCTACGAGTATCTAGAATGACAAGATAAAGATCACCTGATCTAACCTCATCTGATTGGTTAGCAAATGACTACCAATCTTCAATTTAAAATATATTGCCGTTTTGTAATTAAAGTCAAATTGTAGATATATGTATTTACAATCAACAAAGTAGAAAAGTTTTCTAAAATTGTTATTACCTCGCAATATCTGATAATATAATAATCCAAAGGATGTCCATTATCATTCGATACATTCCACCTTAATTCATAGCGATCCGCATAAGAACTGACGATGACTTGTTCGTGAATTGAAACATTTGCAAAACCGCCAAGTGTTACTAAAATTATAGGCTCTGCTGGCACACCTCGTCTCGGCATTGTGAAGTGAAGATTTGGTCCACTCCAACTACCAATTCCCACATCGTTAACTGCGGCAAATGTGAAATGATACGTTTTTTGAGGTTCTAAGTTATTAATTATATATGAAGCATCTAAAAATAATATTCTTAATTAATTAAAGTTTTGTGGACATGCTTTGTGTACAATTTTTTTTTCATTACTTACTAACATTCCAAGTGATATTTTTCGCGAAATCCGATGTTTGATCAATTCTTCGATATTTACAAATGAATGCTTTTAAAGGCATCTCGGAAAACAGTTGCTGTCTAACAATTTCGAATTTAATTGTTGTGGGGGTTACTGTATTAACTTTAACTTGAGAAATTGAACAAGGGGGATCAGCGCTTTTTAAACTAAACATTTTATGGTTTTGTCCCAATCGATTCATAGCAACACACTCGTAATGTGCGTCAAGTTTATTTTCTGATCCTGGTGTAACAATTAGATGTGATTTTGGTCCGTATCCTTCAATTCTAAGACTCGGATTATCCCTATCTAATTCATTGCTGTTATATCTCCATTTTATTGTTGAGTTTGGAATAGATTCTGCAACGCAAGTTAATTTAACGGGGTTGTTTTGCCACGTCCATACTTCGTTAACGTTATCGTTATTGTTGAATACTGGAGGGAATTCGACGGTAATATGACCGATTCTGAATGCTTTACCGATTTCATTGTCGGCGATACATTCATAGAGGCCATCATCTGCTCGGCTTAAGTTACGTATCGTTAAAATTCCATAAGTTTCTCCTTTTGCATTGTTGTTAATGTTTTCTATGAGAATTCTATCGTCAAATGGTTGAGAACCAATTTGAAAGAGATCAGCTTTATTTAATTTTTTAAATAAAACCTTCGGAGTTGGTCTTCCGTTTGCTTTACATATAACTTTCGTATCACTTCCAATCGATGCTGTTATATTAAATAATTCAAAAATTTGCGGTGTAACAGGATTTCCATCTGTCAATTTAATTAAGTTAAAATAAAAACGGTTAAAATTTTTTGATAAATTTACCTATCGTTACGACTCTTACTCTTGTTTCTAGAAGTGTGCTCCCATAAAAAGCTTTACACTTATAAATTCCATCTAAATAATTTTGCGGATTAGGAAATACTAAAAGTATTCCTGTTTCATTTGTTAATTTCTAAAACAAAATAAGTCAATGTTAATTTTTAAATTAAATGTATAAAATTAGAGAGATTTTACGAGGAAAGCTACAAATTCCCGCAGTATCTACACAATACTTCAGATCCAGAAAACATTAAAAATAAATTTAAAGACTTTTATGTACGTAAACTGGTCTTTATTATACAGGGTACCCATTATGTATGGAATATAGTATATATCTCGGTAAATGTTAGCTTTATAAAAAAACATTTTATACAAAAGTTGTTTAATATTTTATTTGCCATAATAAGACTGCATTCAATTGTTTTTAATTCAGAAAACAAATGAGTAACGAATAACACTTGAATTTTTTTAAATGGCAATGTACCCTTTCGTTAGGCTCATTTGATAGAGATTACTTTTCTCTTTACGATCACGTAAAATTTTTGTACCCTTACATCAGAACATTTTTGAGAAAAATGTAAAAATTGTTTATTAATAAAAATTAATCAATGACGTTAATCTAGATATCCGAGCTCGTCAAGTACCTCGAATTATTACCGCAAATTAAATTTACATACAAAATAAAACAAATAATCGAAAAATCAGTGTACATTTCCAATAATTCGAGGTACTACAAAGTACTTGACGATCTCGGATATCTAGATTAATGTTATTAGTTAAATTTTCTTAATAAACAATTTTTACATTTTTTTCAAAAATTTTCTAGTATAAGGGTACTAAAATTTTACGTCATCGTAAAGAGAAAAAAAAAATGTCTTTCAAATGAGCCTAACGAACGGGTAAATTACCATTTAAAAAACTTCAAGTGTTATTCGTTGCTCATTTATTTTCTGAAGTAAGAACAATTGAATGCTGTCTTATTATGGCAAATAAAATATTAAACAACTTTTGTATAAAACGTTTCTTTATAATTATTATATTACGATATTCCATACATAATGGGCACCCTGTATGTGTATTGTCTAGCTACTTTCGGCCCTGCCATCATCAGAGACAACTACCATAGTTAACAAATATATCAATGTAATTATCANAAATGTTAGCTTTATAAAAAAACATTTTATATAAAAGTTGTTTAATATTTTATTTGCCATAATAAGACTGCATTCAATTGTTTTTAATTCAGAAAGCAAATGAGTAACGAATAACACTTGAATTTTTTTAAATGGCAATGTACCGTTTCGTTAGGCTCATTTAATAGAGATTACTTTTCTCTTTACGATCACGTAAAATTTTTGTACCCTTACATCAGAAAATTTTTGAGGAAAATGTAAAAATTGTTTATTAATAAAAATTAATCAATGGCGTTAATCTAGATATCCAAGCTCGTCAAGTACCTCGAATTATTACCGCAAATTAAATTTACATACAAAATAAAACAAATAAACGAAAAATCAGTGTACATTTCCAATAATTCGAGGTACTACGAAGTACTTGACGATCTCGGATATCTAGATTTATGTTATTAGTTAATTTTCTTAATTAACAATTTTTACATTTTTTTCAAAAATTTTCTGATACAAGGGCACTAAAATTTTACGTCATCGTAAAGAGAAAAAAATCTCTTTCAAATGAGCCTAACGAAAGGGTACATTACCATTTAAAAAACTTCAAGTGTTATTCGTTGCTCATTTGTTTTCTGAAGTAAGAACAATTGAATGCTGTCTTATTATGACAAATAAAATATTAAACAACTTTTGTATAAAATGTTTTTTTATAAAGTTGATACCTACCAAGATATACATACATGTATACATGTATACATGTATGTATATATCGTATACATGTATACGATATTCCATACATAATGGGCACCCTGTATGTGTATTGTCTAGCTACTTGTGGCCCTGCCATCATCAGAGACAACTACCATAGTTAACAAATATATCAATGTAATTATCACATAAGGAACAGAATCTACTTTGTCTAAAAACTATGGATGCGAGACATGGATTATGACAGAGAGAGCAAAGAATAATTTGAAAGAAAAATAGTGAGGAAAATCTTTGGTGTAATAAAGGAGAATGGGATATGAAGAAAGCGATACAACGTGGAACTTAATCCCACCTATCTTAGAATTCGTCAAGTCGCAAGGACTGCAATAGGCATTTACGACTAGGATATTTCAACGAGTTCACATTGATTTTGCGACAAAAAACGAAAATGACCTTTTAATTTTGATCGCTTCCTTTTCAAAATGGGTCGAAATAAACATTATGAAGACAACAACTGCAGAGGCCACTATAGAGTATCTCCATTTCAGTATTTGTAGATATAGTCTTTCTGAGCAGTTAGTATCCGATAATGGACCACAATTGATTTCATTGAAGTTTGAAGACTTTTGTCAACAAAATGGAATTAAACATATCAAAACACCATATCATGCTCGTTCTAACAGTGCTGCGGACAGATACTACAAAAACAACTTTCAAAAACAAAATTAGAAAATACGGTACAGCAGGGAGTACAACATCATTTAGATAACATATTGTTTGCTTATCGAAACACTCCACACACAACAACAGGCTGAACTGTTTCTTAAACGTTCACCAAGAACAAGACTATATTAAAGGAAAAATTGATAAAACAAGAGGAGTTAGTTTATGTAAAAGGCAACAGAGGAGAGGAAGAGAAATGGTTGGAAGGAAATATATTGCATAGAAACAGTGAANTCTACTTTGTCTAAAAACTATGGATGCGAGACATGGATTATGACCAGAGCCGCGACGTTGTCGGGCAACTCATTGGCGGCTCGTCGCCTTACAGTAGAGACTCGGGCCACATTGACCACATCACGCCACATATAGTATACCACGCCACTGGTTCAGTTTTAGTCGGACAATCGGCCAAACACATATTGAATGCTGCACCGCAGAGAACCCTCCCAAATTTTACATGGGCCAGCATTCAACCAGTATCGTTACGTTGCGGCACATCGATGTGCTCGATAGAAGCATGTTACCACTACGCTATAACCCGTTCGCTGCTCTATACAGATGGTGACATCAACAGCCCGAAACGTCGTGGCTCTGATTATGACAGAGAGAACAAAGAATAATTTGAAAGAAAAACAGTGAGGAAAATGTTTGGTGTAATAAAGGAGAATGGGATATGAAGAAGGCGATACAACGTGGAACTTAATCCCACCTATCTTAGAATTCGTCAAGTCGCAAGGACTGCAATAGTCATTTACGACTAGGATATTTCAACCAGTTCACATTGATTTTGCGACAAAAAAACGAAAATGACCTTTTAATTTTGATCACTTCCTTTTCAAAATGGGTCAAAATAAACTTTATGAAGACAACTACTGCAGAGGCCACTATACCGGGTGTCCCTCAGAAGTGGCTCACCCCCATATTTTTTTTCATTATTAGTGATATAAGAAAACCATTTGAAATGCATAATTAAGCCGTTAAAACGGATTATTACGACATGAAATCATTTACTTTGTACTTCCTTTCGCTATTTTTTTAAATTTATAAATTTTTTATTAAAAATAACGAAAATAATTTTTTTTTCAAAAATTATAAGCAATCGTGAAAATTTTTTTAAGTAATAGTTATGTGAAATTATGCTGTCTATCCAACTGAAGAAAAAAAATCAAGATTTAAAACACTAGCAAAATTAGTACTCACTTCCGGTATAACTGGAAGCACAAAGAGAATGATTTCATGTCGTAATAATCCGTTCTAACGGCCTAATTATGCATTCCAAATAGTTTTCTTATATCACTAATAATAACAAAAAATATGGGGGTGAGCCACTTCTGAGGGACACCCGGTAGAGTATCTCCATTCAGTATTTGCTAGATATAGTCTTTCTGAACAGTTAGTATCCGATAATGGACCACAATTGATTTCATTGAAGTTTGAAGACTTTTGTCAACAAAATGGAATTAAACTTATCAAAACACCATATCTTGCTCGTTCTAACAGTGCTGCGGACAGATACTACAAAAACAACTTTCAAAAATAAAGTTAGAAAATACGGTACAGCAGGGAGTACAACATCAGTTAGATAACATATTGTTTGCTTATCGAAACACTCTACAAACAACAACAGGCTGAACTGTTTCTTAAACGTTCACCAAGAACAAGACTATATTAAAGGAAAAATTGATAAAACAAGAGGAGTTAGTTTATGTAAAAGGCAACAGAGGAGAGGAAGAGAAATGGTTGGAAAGAAATATATTGCATAGAAACAGTGAATTGACACATTTTGTTTTAACAAACGGAATAAGAAGATTAGTTCATGTAGAAGAACTTAAAAAAAACATTTTGATTATGATAACAAAAATCTTATAGTATATACAGCCTGATTCAGAGTAAGTGCCTTATTTTTTTTAGCCACACTCTGGGTACTACTTTCAAAATATTTGGCAGTAATATGATTTAGGACATTCTCTACATGATGGTGATATCATATTTTCAATTGGACGAATTATTTCAAAATGGCGACATTCAAATTGGACGATTTGTTGTTCCTAAGGCCTGCCTATGAAATACCTTCTGAGAAGTTAACTGCCGGTTTGGTTCCGAGCATTTTAACGTTGTTATGTTAGCATCATGCGGCGTTCGCAGGACATAATTTTTCCGCGCGATGACATGGACATAAGTAAGGACGAAACAATTGGGCTAGCGGCACGCCACGCTCTGTTTGCCGCTCGCGAACGTTTTTAGTTATCATTCGTAAGTGGCAAGCAGAGCGTGGTACGCCGCGAGCCGAAACCTTAAATCAATGCACTCCACTACCGCTCTATGTTTGGACATAAAGGACGTTGTGCCAAAATTTTTTTTGCGCTATCTTCTCCATCTCACAATGTCTTGAACTCCGCATTGGTCTCCGATTCAGGGTCTTCATCTCTGCCACTCGTAACTTGCCCTTAGTTTTGTTCTGAGCGCTCTGAGTACCTTCGGTTAGTTCATCTTCAGCCCTTACTTTAGTCGTATCGTTAGTGTTTAATCTGTGTATAATCGTGTACCTCTTTGTATTAGCAAGTTCAGTACGCCT